CTCAACATCATGAAAATTAAACCCTATTTTCAATAAGCAATCCTAAAAAATATTTGGGGGTGCTTAACTTTTTTCCAGGTGTATATATAAAAGCCAGTTGAAATTTTGTATGTATGTGTGTAATATTCATATTATGAGTCATTTTTAATTTAAGTTTGCACTATTCTTATTGACTTTTTGAGAGTGTACTTGAAAATTCTTTTAGATTATGAATGTGTGTGATTGTTTTTCTTTTATGACGAAGGGGGAAGTTTGGTGAACAAAGCTTGCTGAAGGAAGGGAGAGGGCCCCATGGAGGTTTATAAAAAACTCCAACCCACCATTTTTTGATAGGTCAGTCAAGGCTATTATATAATAAAAGCCACTCTGTTCATAATGTTCCTTTTGTCAGTAACACTCGATTCTCTGTTGGTTACATTCAAATTGGCTCAGTTGTTTGTCTCAAGCAGAAGTATTGAGTTCAATTCCCAGTCCAGTGGAAATTTTTATTACTTTTTTTTTCATTATTAGCTCATCATGGTTAGAACTAGATTATACAATATTAGGAAAAACAGTAATAACATGATAGTTTAAATTAGGGATTTGAATTATTTTTTAATGTTTGGTTACAAAGACTGCATGCTACAGTGGATGTAGCACTCAATTATCATGTGGACACATCACATTTAAATCCAGTTGAGTCGGGATTTTGTGTTAATTGTTTTTTTTTAAATATTTATTATCATATTTACATCAAACCCTTTGAATATTTGCAAAAATACAAATACAATTATAGATTAAATCAAGGATCATATTGTATTACATATAAACACCAGTGTCAAAAAATTTATAACCATTTTTTAAGAAACATTACACCTTTGTGCATTTTTCCTTCACCATAAAATTCATTACCCTTGACATCACATTTAATAAATCACAGGTTCAGATATTTGACCATGTAGGAATATTTCTTTGAGAACCAGTTTTTCACATGGTTCAATGTATAAGGCTATATCAAGAAGAATATTTAAAAATAACATAAAAATATGATCAAAGACCATTGAAAGGAGATAACCAAATCTAAACAGAAAATATTGTTTTTATGAAATACTAGGGAAAGGATAAACATTGTTGCTATAATATAATTAATTTTTAGAATGCATGTTCATAAAACATTTATTTAGATTTAATTTTCAGAATAGAAATTATTCAGCATTTACCATCATATGACAGGGAGTCAGCTAGTATTAAATAAAAGAGATACCCTGCACAATAAACTGAAAGTTTCACACAGCTAAAGTTCTGGTTTAAGAGAAAATAACTTTATTTGTTGCATTGTTTGACTGATTATCAAACTTCTCTATATTATGAATTAAACAATGATCATCATTCATATTTATATTAACTCTAATGGCATCTTTTAAATTGACTAGAATGGTCAGATTATAATAAGAACAGTGTTTTGTTTTATGTTGTTGTGTTATCCTTTTTAGCAAAATGTTTGGAAATACAACTTGAATATTTGTTGAGTGTTTTGTATATAAAAGTTCTTTATTTATTTTGAAATGGATTTTCATTTCACTTGGTTAATTAGCTTGGAAATGCTGTCTTTTGTTTGTAGTAAGAAAGCTACTGCCAAAATTTTAAATCTTCATATGTATAAAGATAATTATAAAAAGAATACCTTAAAAGATTCAGAACAATAAAAGAATTCAATTTCAGAAGTAGATGAGTAAGAAAACATGTATAATTAAGTGTTACATATGTAATATTTGGTTATTATAAACTATGAATAGTTCAGTTATAGATATTTTCAATAATTGAAGGTAATATTTAGTTGTATCTGTAAAATTTTTCAATTTTTAGAGATGTTATGAAACTCCTTCAAGTTGTACGACGTGGATATGATAATGTTGTGAAAGGTATTAAGGTGATTGAATCAGAAAGTTACACTCAAAATAATATGGTAGTTGAAGTTGAAAAAGTTTTGCAACAGATAGAGCAAGAAATTGAAGATAGAAAGCAAAAGTATAACATTCTGGCTCAGAAGATCAAGTCCTACAAAGAAAATTATTCAGAATTGATTCAAGAAAGGTAAGAAATAGTAATTTACATAGATGAGTTAAACTATTCCAGCTTTTCATATTATGTTATTACTCAATAGATTAAATGAAACCAGTAGTATGTTTTTGAAAATTCTAGACTATTTTAAAGACAATATTGAATTAGATAGAAATATTAGAAACCTACATTTAAAAAAAAATTGTTTATTATATATCTGGATATTGAATTTTTTTTAAATCCTAAACACCTGTGTAGTTATTATGTATTGTTCATGATATTCCTAAGTATACTTTTAAGAAATTTACAAAGTTTACCACAAAGGTAAATGATAAATGCACAGCTCTTAAAATATTTCAACATACTGGTTACTGTAAAAAGAAATGCTTGGAAAGTTCTCTAACTTATTTTATTTTTATAACAAGTACATTAAGGATACTTTTATTGCCAAAAATATAAAACATGATACAGTTAGTGAATTATACACATCTAACAATATATTTACAACAAGAATTTTTTACTCTTTTTGTTTTTATATATATGTAGACTCAGTTTTAGACTGTTTCTTAATTGGCTATAATTCTGAAACAAGATTATATATAACACTAATGTATTTTTAATAGATATATTTACCAGCACTTGAAAACTTGGGTACTTGTTTGGTTTTCAGTTACCAAACCCAGATCTCCTTTTTTTTTTTCACTTCTCAGGTATAAATTATTAACTTGAAGTTAAAGAACATTTTAAAAATTGTAAGCAATGCATTTTTAAGAGTAGGTCTTAGGCCAGCACAATAAAGATGAAGTTGAAACAGACCTTGCATTAATACTCCAACTTTTTAACTGAGAGTATATATAGGTTTTACATTATTTAAAAAAAAAACACATTCTATTTCCCACACCTGACCAGATTTTCTAGGTATTTTTCACAGTACTAGATTTTCTATCTCTGCTAACACCTATTTTATAAATATTATCCTGAAATTGTACTGTCTCTTCATTGTAGTTGAAACATGTCTGATAAAACCCCATGCATACTTATCGTTATGCTCATAGCTTTAGCTGTTTTTACTAAATTATTTATCACAATTTTTTGGCCTCTTAAATAAATCAAAAAAAGTGTTTCATCTTATAAATTCTTTCAGTATTTCTTTAGTAACTTTTGTTTTCCATTTGTTACATTCTGTGATAAATTCATTCAAGAAATTACTTGTTTTTTTTTTACATTTTCTTTCTGTTTTTATATCTTTGAGTTAGTCTATTCTTTGGTAACATTAAGTATGCTATTTTAGTTCCTCCAGAGAAGAAATGATCAGGTATCTTTCAGTAGAACATAAGAGTTGGCTTGAAGCTGTCCACTCTGTCAAGTCCGCTATTGATAAGTCTGTTCAACAGGTTAGAAAAGAAGAATTAAAAATTGAAACTATGAAAACTTCATCAGATCCATATAAAACTATTGAAGAAGAATTATTACAGAAGGTGGGTGTTGCTAAAAAACAATGATAATTATTCAGATATTAAATAAAAATCTACATAAACTGTGTATCAATAACTACTATCTTACTTTAAAAGTGTTGGTGTCATAGGTCAAGAATGTCAAATTATTGCCTCAGCTTTATTTTCCACTGTGTGCAATGACTAAATTTTCAAATTCAGCACCTAACTAGCAGTTCATCTGAAAGTTACTTGTACATGTGAGATTCATCAAAATCACTGAAGCATAGTTCAGATTACTCTGACAACTTGAGCAAATTTGCTTGCATTGGTCCTTGATATTAATATCCATAGCAGTGTTAGTTAATCATTAAAGTTTCTTTTACCAACATTATACAGTGTAATTAGTTTATTAAAATGAAACAATTCCATGGAAGCATTTAAAATCTCTAGACAAAATTTATCTCATGTTTTAATTAATAGCTAATACTGAGCAGGTAGAAGGCAATATGTTGACAAACTGCTTTAAATCAGTATTTATTGCAATAACTAATTTCTGATTTTTTTTAACACAGTCAAACCGAAGAAAGTCAGCAAAAGATCTTAAAATGTTGATATATATTTATAGAAGCTGTCAAGAAGTTAAGTGTCAAAAGCCATCAAATTTGAGGTCAATGGTTCGAAATATATTTGTGGTTATAATAATGATGCAGAAAATCAGGTATATTTTTAGGTAGAAAATATTGTTTTCTTTGGCTTTTTTAATTACTTATTATCAGATTGATTTTTTAGTTTCACTCCAAGTAAGTAGATTTGCTTTTATCACAAGCTAATGTATTTTGTATTATATTAATATTTTATAGTTGTTTACTCATACTTAGCTGAATGAGGCTTAATATTTTATGATTTAAATTCTTTTTAGTAAATGTTTACATACTGTGGCACTTTAAAACTTAGTTTGAACTCTTAAATGAATTATGATATTCTGTATTTTTAGTTACAAGTTGCAACAGATAATCATGATGTTTTATCCAAACAACGAAATGACTTCCAAAATGAAATGAATGACCTGAAAACAGTTTTATTCCAGCAGGTAAGGAAGTTTATAATTTATCAACAAGTACAGTAACTAAATTATCAGCACATTAATCTTGTTTAAAAAATTTCTTCTGTTCTCAAAACAGTGAAAAAAACCCAACAATAACAACTAAGAGAATTTTATATTAATAAAAGCAGTTCACTTGCTGTTCCAGTAACATTAATCTCAAGCTTCAGTTTGTGAATGAGTAAGCTCTCATTTATTAAGAGGCCCTGTTCATCATTGGCCCTTGCTCAGATCTTAAACCAATTAGAATAGACAGCAACATCACATTTTCTTAGAGCATGTTTAAATATATTTAACTTAATAGGAGATCTTAGGTAAGTATGTTCTTTCACTTTCTGTTAACATTTTCTTGTAGTAGAACTGATATAGCCTTGCTGACAGCAAGGACAGGTAAATTTATAAACTACAAATGATGACTGTAAAGCAGGAATCAGGTCCTTAAGTCTAAAAAAAAAACATTATAGATGACCATTAGGTTTAAACATACATTTCAACTGGATGTACAAATATGTTCTTATAAAAAAATTTTAACCGATTTTTAATAATTAAAGAACATTTACCCATGTATGGTAGACTGATAATGTAGGATATTTAGACACTTCAATTCCAAAACATACTTACCTCACTCTCACTTAAAGCTATTACTCGACTACCAGAGGTTCTTCCTTTGTCCATCTAAGTTTGTTTTTTTCACTAGCTCCAGTCTTTTATACCCCACTTAATTCCCTTGGTGATATTTATCTTATGGCACTCTCCACCTACATCATCATTATGCTCTCTATCCTGGTACTGTATATAAGCACCTCATTCAGATAATGTTATTTTTTCTCGACAAAGCATTACTAACAAATTTCTCAGTGCTATAATCATTAGGAGATACTTTGAGCATTCTCTGTGTTACCTAGTTGATTTTCGTCAAAAAAAAAAACTTTTTTTGATTGGCAAGCCGATATACAGTATGAATTCCAGGATTATTATTTCTGGCACCATCGCAAGTCGGATCTCTCCTATCCCACTTCTGATATCTAGTGTTGCTCAACAATCGAGGAGTGGCTTTATATGTAAAATATGAGTTACATCCTGTTGAAGGATATCAAAGATAATAGCAAGGAGATTGAATCCATTTGGGTTTCTATTAGTGGATGTAAAGGGAAAAGCCTTTTAGTGGGAATTTATTACAGACCACCGAATTAGTAAGAAACTTTACAATGAGATTAAGATTTCAGCTGTTAATGAAGTCATAATTATGGGCAGTTTTAATTTCAGACATATAGATTGGGAAATGTTAGAGTCAAACTATAAGGGAGAAAGGTTTTTTGAAACTGTTCAATATGGCTTTCTTCACCAATTAGCCAAGGAACCTACTAGAAACGATGCCATTTTAGATTTATTATCAACTTCAAATATAGAAATGATTGAGAGGGTGGAAATTGTGGAACATCTGGATGTAAGTGATCATTGCTCTGTTAGGTTTAATGTTTTGCTGCATATGGAGATAAGAGATAATGATATTTTGGTTACAAATTTCAAACAACCAAATTCTGATGGGATGAAACAAGAATTATCTGTTGTGAATTGGGCAGCTGATTTATTTGGAGATGCTGATCAGATGTGGAAAATGTTTCGAGATAAATTTTTAAATATTCAAAGTAAATATATTCCTTATATAAAGAAAAGGATATATGTGAGTAAAAAACCAGGTTGGCACACAAAGAGTGTAAGAGATAAAATTAAAGAAAAAGCATATCAAAATTTAAGAAATTTAAATTGGCTGGTATAAATGGGAGAATTAGAAAATTATAAAAGATCAAGAAAG